CAATTCTTATTCTTATTCTTCCTTCTTCTCCATCTTTTGTAAAACCTAATAGGGTTTCTTGTATTTGTTTAAGAAACTTAATCTTTTTCTCATATATTGATTTGTTCTTGACGACATCAATTCACAACAAACTGGTGTGGTGAGCGTGGAGGAGAAGATGTCGTTAGTAAAATATGAGATTGAGAAATTCACCGGTGTGAATGATTTCGATTTATGGTACTTGAAGATGTAAGCCCTTCTTACTCAATAGGGTTTGTTAGAAACGTTGAAAGGATCAGAGAAGATGGACGATGCCCTATCGGAAAAGGATAAGACAATGATGGTCGAAAAAGCTCACAATGCCATTGTATTAAGTCTTGGTGATAAGGTTCTCCGGTAGGTGTCAAAGGAAAAAACGACATGATAAAAACTAGTTTGTTCCCTTGTTAATGTATAGTTTATTCCAAGGTGGAGATTTGTGATATTTTGGATCAAACTCTAGTGTCGACAAGGGTAGTTTCATGATTCGACAGGGGTGTGCATGCTGGAGTCGAAGTCTGTTCAAGCATGTCGCCGAAATATGTTAGCTATGTGTTTAAGTTGGCATGTCGAATTGACCCTTACTTGTAAGTCAAATTGTTAAGTTTGCTTGTAGTCTATGTTAGTTTAGTAGTCTATAAATAGACTAGTTCTCTCAGGTTTTTAAGAGAAGTTAATTGTTGGTATTCACGTGTAATCTTTGAACCCTTATTGAGTAAGTGAATAGTAAAACACTTTTATTCAATTCTTATTCTTATTCTTCCTTCTCTATCTTTTAGAAAACCTAATAACTTTCCTTGTGTTTGTTCAAGAAACTCAATATTTTTATCATACTTTAGTTTGCTCTTAACGATATCAATTCACAATAAAACCTTTGAAAGGAGTACCCAAGCCCGACACTGACAGCTTCTGCTAAATATTATGCTTGAAAACTATTGTGGCAGCTCAGAAAACTTAGAAGCACCAACCCTTTATTCTACGTAATTATAATTTCAAGAGATTATTGTTTACAAATAAAATTGTGCTTCTTAATTTGGTTTTTCAATTAAGTCAATTAAAAAAAAAAGGTGAAACAACAATACTAATATATAAGGTGCCATGAAAGTGAGTTTAAATGTTTTCGAAAATATATTTTTAGATTTATTTTGTAAGTATATTTTTGAACTATTTTTTTGATAAGATGTGACTAATTTATGTATAAATTTAGCATAAATGAGTATAGGGTAAATTTGAAAGTGCATTTTCGAACTAAATTTTAAAAGAAAAATGAAGTTAGTCTCACTTAAAACATATTTTGGTGTAAAATGGTGCATCCATAAATGCACTTCCAAATTATAAAAAGCATTTTTGAAATTTCATAAAATGTTTTTCAACCACGATAAACAATTCCCTAAAAAAAAGACAGGCTGACATAAATCCATGAGAGGATCTAGGGGTCCATGCTCATGTAATCTATTTGTCCTTCAGCAATTTCCTTTTTTGGGCCAAGGCCCATATGGCTATTAAAATATTAAGACATTGTTTATTACACCTCATGCTTTAGTTATCTATATTAACGAAATTTCAAAAATACTTCTAAAATCCAAAATTTGAAATCCAAGCACATCAAATACATGCTAATTAAAAAATTCTGATATTTGAATTTAGACGCACATCATAACAAATCCAACTTTAAAACTCAAATCAAAGTTACAAATGTCAGGATTTCAAAATTTGGATTGAACTAATGGATATTGGTATAAACGCATTTATTTAAATAATTGCACTCTCTCTCCCTCTTCTTTTCCATACATTTGAAATCAAACCAACGTGTAAAATAGAGCTTTTGCTAATGTCTATTCCTGTTTTAATATTGTTCAAAATTTTCTCTTAAATTTTATTCATTTTTATTCAAACCCAACATCTTCATCAATTTTTACTCGCCTAAGCACATTCATATCTCATATATGGTCAGTTTCTCATACCTTTGATTTTTTTTAAGTTGTGAAGCATGAAATTCTTTAATATGCTACATTATGATACATTTAATATATATATATATATATATATATATATATATATATATATATATATATATATATATATATATATATATATATATATATATATATATATATATATATATATATATATATATATATATATAATATTTGTTTGGTCCTAATTACATTTAGTATAAACTTAAGATATTTAAGAGTTAGTGTATGTGCATGAGCGAATGATATCTATTTCACACTGCGGATGTATTATTTATATGTCACTGAAATATTGCTATTAAGAGGGAGGAGTCATAGTTAGAAGAGAGTTTGAAGAAGATACTCCTAAGAAGATCACTATAAACAATTTTAATAAAAACACAAAATACATTGTATTATAAGAGGTAGGGCTGGCAATGAACCGAACCAACTCGAAAATAGTTCGAAATTCGATTCGACAATTAAATCGTTGAACTAGGTTCATGAACCAAATGAGTTGAGTATGAGCGAAAAATTAAGTTCGTTAACTAAATGAGCTGAACTTGAACTATACATAGTTCGACTCGTTAGGTTCATGAGTCAACTCGATTACATATGAGAAAAATTATACTGTCTTTAAGATTAGGTTTAAATATTTACTCCAAATCTTAGACAAATTTAATCTTCAATTTAGTAGTTTTTGAATTAGACTCTCAGATGTATCTCTTGAAAGTTGTGTAAGTTTTGAATTAGTAGATTTCGAAGATAAAGTTAAATTTCAATATGATAACTTTTATTTTATTTAAATATTTTATTTTAAAAAAATATATTTATTTAAAATGTCAAATATACTAAAAAATATATATATGTAAAAAAAATAGCTTTTAAGTCCGTGAATCATGTGAACTGAACCTAATGAGATGAACCTAACGAGTTGAACCGAACTGTTCGAGAACTTATAACGAGTCGAGTTTGAGCTTAAAAAAAAGTTCGTGTTGAAATCGAACTCGAACTCGAACTCGAACAAATCTTAACGAGTCGAGCCGAGCTGAGGTGAGTTCGACTCGACTCGACTCATTTCCAGCCCTAATAAGAGGCAAAAGAGAAACATGGACGATAGATATTTCTGATAAGTGTACTTTTATTTTTATTTTATCATAAAATTTTTAAAAATTTATATGGTTGGTTTTATTTTATGAATGACTCATATATGATTTAGAGTTATGAAAATTTGAGCTTAGTTATATCTCATTTATTTATATGGTTTATTGTGTGAATACTATATGATTCTAAAATGATATGGAAGTTTTTTTTCTAGTCTAATTATTGTCACTGAGTTCTAAATATTGTTTAGAAGTTTGTTTGAATTTTGAAATTCATATCCACCCGATTGTTATGAAATAATGATTCAGGACAATGTTTAAAATAATTTTAAAGAATTTTTGGAGTTTTGAAATTCGGATTCACCCATTTATTTAACACAAAAAAAAAATACATATTACATTCATATAATATTATTTTAGGAGTTAAGTCTAATAATTAAAATTCAAATTCTAATATGGTATATTTAAATATTGTAATTCAAACACAACTTTTTACTTGGATGAGACAGCTCTTTATAAAGAAATTTATTGTATAATTGATATATTTGAATTTCAACTTGGATGAGATATCTCTTTATAAAGAAATTTATTGTATAATTGATATATTTGAATTTCAATCTGAAATCTTTAGACATCACGGAATGATATTTTTGAATTTCCTAAATAAGTGAACACTACGTTGGGTAGGATGCACTAAACACCACCCCTAATATTATGAAATTTATCATTTTGTCATCTAAAAAGATGTCTTTTTTATCTAAACACATGAGAACTTATGGAAATGATCCTCTAATAGTATATTTTGTAGTATATTTTGATAGAGTATATTGAAAGTGAATTGAGAATCTTTCAAATATTATCGTATAATGATTTTATATATTTTTTTTTTCACTTTAGGGTAAGGCTTGAATTTTTTTATTGAAAAAAAAATCAAGAATGTTACATATTTATATTGAATTGAAATTCTAGCATATATGGAAACTTTGTCTTGCTCTTTACTTGAGGTCATTTTCTTGGCCAGTTATGAGTCTAGTCACATAAAATAAAACAACAAGCATAAATGTTTTTTGTTGCCTAACAAATTACTACTCTTTTCCTAGATCAAAAGATTGAGTACACATGTATGAATAAACAAACAGTGAAATGAAAAAAAACATGACCAGATAACATCTCATCCATCATGCACTCATGTAATACTTGTGTAGCTACTGCAAATGTTTCTTCTTAGTCAGTCCTACATTAATGTCTTCAATTTCATAGCAAATTAAGGAGCGTAGTACATGTTTAATAAATGATTGACTCAACATTCATTCTTTTGGCTCCTCTCACTATCATTAACACACTAATTTTTATTTTTTATAAACTAAATATTCTTTACGCACAATTATATAGACTAATCTATGAAGTCGAGAAGGACCGTAATAGACGCGTATCTGCATAAACTAATCTTTCGAGTTAAAAAAACTACAATAGATTATAAAACTCTCTCAAAAAATTTAATAGTGGTGTGTAGATAAAATTGAATCCAACTCGAGACCTCTGATTAAATTGAGAAAAACTCTTACCTTTTGGATTATTTAAGATAGAAATTAACACAAGATTGTTTTCATAGAATTTGAAAATAACGGTTACTTAGTCATGTATTAAAACTAAGCAAAACATCTCGTGACACAGACTGTGTGCTCCTAGATTTCTACTCAATTTCAGTTTCAGTGTTTCTTTCTCTCTCTTAACAAAGGATACTCGTGATGAAGAGCTCTTATATTTCACGAGCTTCATATTCCTCAGACTTCAACAAATGCTTAACTTGTTCATATTTGAATTCTTCCTCAACACCTTCAAATACCCCTTCAATTCTTCCACAAAATCATGCACCACACAACACATTCTTCTCCTACTACTACTACTACTACAACAAAAACCAATGGAATCCAAATTTCAACTCTTTTTCTTTACCTTTTTCCTTCTCATTCTCACCATTCATGCACAAACACTTGCAACTTACATAGTTCAGTTGCACCCTCATGGCACAACCAAGTCTTTGTTCACTAACAAACTTGAATGGCATCTTTCATTTATACAACAAACTATTTCATCTGATGAAGACCCTTCCTCACGCCTACTATACTCGTACCGTTCCGCCATGGACGGTTTCGCAGCTCAGTTAACCGAGGCTGAGATTGAGTATTTACAAACAAGTCCTGATGTTATCTCTATTAGACCAGATAGGAATCTCCAGATTCAAACCACATACTCGTATAGGTTCTTAGGACTCAACCCTGCGAGAGAAAATGGTTGGTATCAATCTGGTTTCGGCCGTGGAACCATAATTGGTGTGCTTGATACCGGAGTTTGGCCAGAGAGTCCTAGCTTTGTTGATCATGATATGCCTCCGGTTCCGAAGAAATGGAAAGGTATATGCCAATCAGGCCAAGCCTTTAACTCTTCCAATTGTAACAAAAAACTCATTGGTGCAAGGTACTTCACCAAAGGCCATTTGGCAGTATCACCTACAAAAATTCCGGAATATCTTTCTCCAAGAGACTCTTCTGGACATGGAACACACACTTCATCTACTGCCGGTGGAGCTCCGGTGCCAATGGCGAGTGTTTTCGGTTATGCAAAAGGTGTGGCAAGAGGAATGGCTCCTGGTGCTCACATTGCAGTATACAAAGTTTGCTGGTTCAATGGCTGCTATAACTCTGACATCATGGCTGCAATGGATGTTGCAATCAGAGACGGTGTCGACGTCCTATCCTTGTCTCTAGGTGGTTTTCCTGTGCCGCTATACGATGATAGTATTGCAGTTGGAAGCTTTAGAGCAATGGAGAAAGGAATTTCGGTTATATGTGCAGCAGGAAACAATGGCCCAATGGCAATGTCTGTTGCCAATGATGCTCCTTGGATTGCAACTATTGGTGCAAGCACACTTGACAGGAAATTCCCGGCTATAGTTCGCATGGCGAACGGACAAATTCTAATCGGAGAATCCATGTATCCAGTAAACAACAGAATGGCAAGCAAAAGCAAAGTACTTGAGCTGGTTTACCTAACTGATGGTGATACCGAGAGTCAATTTTGCCTCAAAGGCTCTCTTCCAAAAGACAAAGTTCAAGGAAAAATGGTGGTATGCGACCGCGGTGTCAACGGAAGATCAGAAAAAGGTCAAGCTGTGAAGGAAGCAGGTGGTGCTGCTATGATCTTAACAAACACAGAGCTAAACTTAGAAGAAGATTCAGTTGATGTTCATCTCTTGCCTGCAACATTGGTAGGATTCGACGAATCAATCATCTTGAAAGCTTACATAAACTCCACAAAAAAACCACTTGCTAGGATCGAATTCGGAGGAACTGTAATCGGGAAATCTCGAGCACCAACAGTCGCAATATTCTCAGCTCGAGGACCGAGTTTTACAAACCCTTCAATCCTTAAACCAGATGTTATAGCTCCAGGAGTCAACATCATTGCTGCATGGCCTCAGAATCTCGGTCCAACCGGCTTACCAGAAGACAATAGAAGAGTAAACTTCTCTGTCATGTCAGGTACCTCAATGTCCTGTCCTCATGTCAGCGGAATCGCGGCTCTTATCCGTTCGGCTCATCAAAACTGGAGCCCTGCAGCTATCAAATCAGCAATCATGACAACAGCAGATGCAACAGACCACACAGGAAAACCGATACTCGACGAAGACAAACCTGCTACATCTTTTTCAATGGGAGCCGGAAACGTGAATCCACATCGAGCATTAAATCCAGGACTAATATACGATATCAAACCAAACGATTACGTCAACCATCTTTGCAGCATTGGTTACACAAACTCAGAGATATTCAGCATCACACACAAAAATATTAGCTGCCATGCAATCATGCAGAAGAATAGAGGCTTCAGCCTTAACTATCCTTCTATATCAGTGATTTTTAAAGACGGAACGAGTCGAAAAATGTTCAGCAGGAAGGTAACAAATGTAGGAAATCCTAACTCCATCTACTCAGTGGAAGTTGTAGCACCTCAAGGAGTAAAAGTGATAGTGAAACCAAAGAAGCTAGTATTTAAACAAGAAAATCAAAGCTTGAGCTACAAAGTTTGGTTTATATCAAGAAAAAGGGTTACCATGAACTTTGCAGAAGGACATTTGACATGGATACACTCAGAAAATGGTTCTTACAGAGTTAGAAGCCCAATAGTAGTGAGTTGGAAGACTAAGTAGAAGGGTGAAAACTTCAAACATTATTACTAAGGCTGTCTTAGAAGTTATTTATTATCATTGTTGCATTGGTTTCATTGCTTTATTTATGTTTAGTTGCAGAGTTTATGCTAAACTTTGTTTTAGGAGTTTTAGTAGAGAAAAATAAATTGATATATAAAATAATTTTAGTGAAAACAATAACTTCTTTACTTGTTTTCAACATGATATTTTTAAAGTAACACGTGGATTAGTCTAACTCGATCCTATAAATCGGTTTTGTAGGGCGAGGATTACTCTCATTTATAAACACATATTCAGATTATAGATTGTCTGATATGAGATTCTTAAAATTTCCTCTCACATTCAAGATTTTAAACGAGACTCTTGATGCCATTTTAAAATGTATAGTTTGACTTAATTCAACTATATAAAACTGATTTATAAGGTGAGAATTACCTACTTATAAACACATGTTCAGATCATAAATTATTCGAAATAGGACTCTTAATGGATATTTTTCCATTCACACAAGCTCTAAGCTGCTTAATCAAATCCACTAACGGAGAAGAAGATATACTATTAAAGTAACCAATTTGTGTATATGACTAATATTTAGAAAGTTTTGGGAAATGTATGTAAAAAAGCTCTAAAGAAATTAATCCACTAAGCAAAACCAATCCAATGCATGAATACTACAATTAAATAACTCAATGCCAATGCATCTACAAATGATGGACACAACTCTATTATGTACCTCAAAAGAGTTTGTTGTGTCCTATAAGACTTCTGCAACTTAATGATAATGCATGTATACATATATCAATTCAACCAAAACCACTTAAACCCATGGTTTCTAAAAACATGGCAACATATATGACAAATGAACCATCAATGTATGTGAGTTTACTATTACATACCAAAATCAACTTGTTATCCAACAAGTGCAAATAGTTGTCATTAATTCCTCAAAAATATCAATTTTATCTAATATAAAGGTGCGAGTTCGAATCCACAACACCTCATTTATTAATTTTTAAAAACTGAATTTCTGTCGATAAAAATATTATGAGATACATCAAAATTATTATAGCCTCGTTTGTCCACCTTATACAACATTGAATTTCCATTGTTGATAAATAGAGACTCAAATATTAATTTCTAATAAAATTTATTTAACTATGGAAACAAATAGTTGTTAATTACCTTACTCATTTTAGAGGAATTAAATTCATACCATTGGTTGCAAAAAAAAAAAAAAATTCATCATCTTTAATTTTGAATAAAAATTAATTGAATTGGAGCACATTTTAATTGTTGGAATTAATCAAAAACTATGAGAATTTTAAATCAATTTTGATGAATAAGATTTAATTTTGTGTTGGAAATTTGCTGCAAAACATGAATAAAAAGAAGATGAAAACGGTATGATAAAAGTTGTACAAAATAAATTGCACATTCACATTAAACATATCGATCAATAATATTTTATAGAATAAAGTTCCATTATTTATTCTTGTGCACTAGAAAAATAAAAGAATAACTTAGATATAATTTTTGACATTTAAAACAAGTAATTTTTTGTGTATATTTTATGTCTAACAAGTATCTCTATTTATAGAAAAACGTGTACTAATTGGTGAGAAGAAACAATGTTTCAATGGTTTAAACATGACCATTCGCGAACCATTATATATCAATAAATATCAAACTATTTCATGAAAAGTTGTGTTGGTCTGGTGGTGACACCTTATGACTATGCACCCTATTACAATAAGGTCTTTGGTTTGATTCTAGACAGTTGCAACTTTTGGCAATTTATTTTGTTAATTTAACCATTATTATTTATCAATTTAATATTTTTGAAATTTCTCCAACAATCCCCCACCATTTTCAAAATATATCTTCAACAATCCCCCACCATTTTCAAAATATATCTAAATCTATTATTCAGTAAATTTCATGGTTTCAGATAAAAGTATCTTATGATTTGAACCGATACTTAATAAGTTAAGTTTTTACTCATTCTCGAATAGATTGGTAGACGAATTTTAAACCAATTATTCGTTAGAACAAGCATGCATAACTCACACATGAAATCTCGGTACCATTGATCGATTTATTAATATGATACATTTAATAAGACCTTGTGTCTCATATCCTTTTCATAAGAATTTAAGGGTCAAGCCCTTGAACTCTATGGAGCGGCACCACTTCACTCTCATATAGGTAGACTATATCAGAAATGCACTCATAATTACACATTCCAGCAAACATACATATATATGTATATTAAGAGGAAAATCTCATCATCCTACCACACTTATTCTTATGGTCCAAGTATTTTTACTTCTTAGGATGCATATATCATTAAGTACTTCAATCACTCTAATAGTTTACTTTCATCATTGAACTCAAGACTTAACATTAATCAAGTGTGAGTTGAGTTTTCACTATTGATGATTAATTAGATACGAGCTTGTTTCGCATCCCTAATGATGTTTTTATTGTATTCAATTATATCAAAAGACAACATATCTTTGTTAATTCTTTCGTCAAAGAATTGCAAGATTTTTCTAAACTCTAATAAATTTTGAATATTCAATTTTTCAACTAATCATGCATATGATTACTTACTGTACTCTTGATAGTATTTGACATCTATCATCAAATCATAACACTTTTGTCTTATTAGTACAATTTTTATATACAACATATGTTTTTATATTCTTGATAGTTTCGATAAACTATCATTATGACATTTTTGTCATTTATTTTGTCATACACACAAATTTTATGTCATTCTTGATTTGCTAATCTTTTTAATTTGAAGTTTTACTTCCACTTAAATATATCTGAAATATATTTAATGCATTAAACATTTTTAGCAATCGACAACCACCGCCAAACAAATTTGTCATGACTAACTTTTATTTCATGAAGTGAATTCAAACATGTAATTCAACACTCCATATAAATTCAACACCATATAATTCATTTCTATTTTTTTTAAATAAACAATTTTCTTGCATAACTAATATACATAACAAATTTTATGTGATAAATCCATGTTTTATATTTAACAATGTTATATGATATATGCAAATAAAAATCACAATACAAAGTAAACAATGAATTCACATCATTAATATTTTCTATAACTTTTCTCCATAAATATTTGTCAAATTACAATTATCTAAAATATATCAAAGTTGCTTTTAATATCAAGATGAATAAGAAATAATACTTTCATATTATGATACACATATAATATGAGATAAATCATTTTAAAATAAATTCTTGAACAAACTAAAATGCAATTTAAACATGTCCTTGATATTTCTAACATTTTATTTAAATCATTTCATATTACCAATACATGTACCATACATTCAAATTCATGATTTTTTTTCCACCAAATCATTTTATCCAATATTAATGCATTATTAATTAAAAAAAATTACTTCCACCAAAAATAATATTTAACATGTATTTTATATTCAAATATACAGCATAAACTAAACATATTCTTAATTATTCAAATTCACATACTTGAATAATTTATAAATTATACATATATAAATTTATTCCACATGTTAAAGTTAACATAAGTAAGTATTATTTTCAACATATTTTATATGAATTTAGATCATATAAATGGCATATTTATTTAATATGACTATGTACCTTTCACAATCATTGAAAGTTGTTACCATCTTCTTTAAAGTTGCATACTTTAATAACAATTAAAAATAAAGTATGAACCAAAATAAAAAACCGAACCTAAAGATTGTTAGATCTTGTGTTGGGGATTTGCTACAAAACATGAACAAGAAGAAGATGAAAACAATACGATAAAAATTGTACAAAATAAATTTCAAAGCGTGTGTTTATACTAAGCTTTAGGTTCAATTCGCCCCCACCAATTTATGCAAATTAGATGCAAAAGGGTTAACCAGAGAATTCCCTTCAAGATACTTTGGAAACCTTAACATGAATCGCACATTCACATTAAGCATTTCGATCAACAATATTTTACATAATAAAATTCCATTATTTATTCTTGTGCACTAGAAAGATAAAATAATGACTTAGATATAATTTTTGACATTTGAAACAAGTAATATTTTTTGTATATTTTATGCCTAACAAGTATCTCTATTTATAGAAAAACTTGTACCAATTGGTGAGGTGAAACAATGTTTCAATGGTTTAAACATGATCATTCACGAACCATTATATATCAATAAATAACAAACCATTTCATAAAAAGTTGTGTTGTTTTGGTGGTGACACCTTATGACCACGTACCCTATCACAATAAGGTCTCTGGTTCGATTCTAGACAGTTGCAACTTTTGGCCATTTATTTTGTTAATTTAACCATGGTTATTTATCAATTTAATATTTTGCAAATTTCTCCAACACTTCACTCAAGTGAAACAATCACACCTTGATTGCAAGAATGATTATGCGTAACAATTATTAATGGAAGAAGAAAAAAAGAAGATTGAATAAGAAAGAAGATTATGGTTTAACAAAATAGGGGAAGAGGAGGATAATTTATGTAGAGTAACTATCTGCTCTCAAATTGAAAAAATATTATCCAACTGTACATCTGCACTTTCTGTTGTGTGTTACAATATTATTCTCTATTCTTTTTACTCAAAATAGGGTTACTCTCTCTATTTATGATTGAGCTACTTTGCTACTTAAGGTAAAACACAAAATTACAAAAGCCTAAAATTTATATTTTGGTCTAAGTCGAAATCCTGTGTCAGGAAACCTGCTTCGACATTTTGACATCTAACACAACTCGATACACATGCACACTAGGCTAATTTCGACACATCATTATTTCTGTCGAGCTACACTTACTTCGACACAAGGAATTACAATCTCAATGCACCACCTAATTCATTGTGTCTAAGCTATCTATATTCATCATAAACCTTAGCTTATTGAACAATTCGACTTGCATTCCTTTCATCATGATATCTGCAATCTGATTCTCAATTCTACAGT